CCCTTAGTCCCAGAAGGCCATCAAGGAGCGCAACCGCCGCGCCGCCATGCGCCGCCACGGCGTCAACCCGGAGGACGTGGAGCCGCCCGCGGACGGCGTTTTCCGGGCGGTGCCGTCAGACAGCATGGCGGACGCCCCCAACGCTGTCAGCCAGGTGAGGCGCGGCTGGGAACAGACAGGGTTGCTGCCTGTGACGGAGGCGCACTGGTTGGATATCGTTTGGCCCGGGCTCGCGCAACGGTGCCGTTGCGAGGGCACCGCAGTGCTCTTCTAGGCTGTGAGGCACCCAGCACGCATTTCTCCTTGGCCCACCCCTGCGGCGGCCACACCCATTTTGTCCCGGGCTCAGGTGCGTGCGGGACGGTGGTTGGCGTCCCTCAACCTGGCCGGGGAGCTGTACCAGGCTTTCTTTCCCAATGAAGACCAGGCAGCGGAGGCCATCCTGCTCTCCGGCTTCACACAGCCGGACGTGTCGGCATAGGCGCTGTCGGGGGAGTGCAGCAGCAGCGGAGGAGGCGGCGGCCACTGTGACCGCGGCAGTGCGGCCTGGGGCCAGCGATTGACCAAAGCGTTTTGAGCGGTGGCGCCACAGGGTGTGGTGGCACACTGGGCATGTTCTTGCCTGACTGTTTGATTGTGGACGTTGTTACATGCCGTTTGCATCAAGTCTAAAAATGGATCCAAAACTGCACTCCTTATGCGGGCGCACCACATTATCAGCTAATGTCCAGCCTTGACAGCGGGCCTTTGGATGCATCCGCAGTCGTGCAGTTGTGTTGTCATTCCAGGCCGCGATCGCTCGCTGCCCGACCGCTCAGCGCCGACCGGTCCCTGGATGGCTATGAGTGACTGGTATACGGTGTAGGCATGGTGACCATGCAATCCTGTCCTGTCATCACACGTACCTTGCGTGGAGACATGCACGCGGCAGTCAACCCTGACGGGTTTGCTCGGCGAGTTCGCGACCAAAACACGACCCCCTGATTGTTCATTGCATCGATTATAAGTAATTATTGTTTATTCTCAGATCCAAACCCATGGCAGAGCCTTCGATCTCACTGCTCTCACCGCGCCGCGGCACGGAGAGCGCCCCACCGTGCAGCTGTGAAGTGGCAACTCATCTGGCTAGCAGTTGGATGCGACAGGGCAAGGCAAGCCTCATCTTGAGTGGAGCCGCGAGCCCCACGCTGACGCGGCGCCATTCCGGCGCGTCACCAAACGTGCAGTCCACCGCCTGCAGCCCCAGGGCAGCGGACCCCATGCTGCAGTGGCCCGTCGGACCAAGCCCCGATGCTTCCCCTAGAATGCCATCATGGCCTTCGCCCACCCCCACTTCACCAGAGGCGGTGTTCCGCCGGGCCCCCGCAGCCTCAGCGGCTGGGGCCCTAGTGGGGTCACCCCGGCGGCAAGCTGCCTGTGGACCCGAGCCCGCATCTGTGGCGGGTGAGAAGCAGCCGCGTGTGACATGTTGTACAGCAGACCGTCTCGCGCAGTTCTTCTGTTTGCCTGCAGCTCCAAGCGCTCACAATGCACAACGCCTCGTGACTCGCACCCCACCGGCACGCAGAGCCACCGATGTTCCAGAGGCGCCACTCCCTGGGCGCGTCGAGCGCTCTTGTGACCCTCGCCGCCCAGGCCCACCCGCGCCCGCTCGCCTTGGCGAGCAGCTCAGGCAGTGGCAATTTGTTCGGCGGCGACGACGTGGAGGGGGTGTCAGCATCGCCCACAGCCCCAGGCAAGGCCGCCCGCACCGGAGCCTCGCGAGACCCAAGCTGGCGGTTGGGCAACAGCAGCCAGCACCTACAGAGCGAAACACACGCTGCCCTGCGGCAGCTAAGCATGGGGGGAACGAGGCAGGCACCCACGCGGCGGGCGTCAGAGAGCTGCCCGGGCGGATGCATCGCTGCGCAACCGGAGCAGCAGCAGCAGCAGCAGCAGCAGCAGCAGCAGCAGCAGCAGCAGCAGCAGCAGCAGTAGCAGTAGCAGTAGCAGTAGCAGTAGCAGTACCGGGAGCCAGCAGCGACAGCAGCAACAACAACAGCAGCAGCAGTCGCAGCAGTAGCAGCAGCAGCACAGACGTACACGCCACAGGAGACCACGTTGCGCATTGCCATCAGCAGCGCTGGCGGCTCCAATTGCGGTGATGGTGGGATGCGCAGTGAGGCTGAAGTGAATGCCTTGCGGGCTGCGCCCCTGGTGCCAGCGGGGAGAGCTGCAGCGAGCAAGCTTCGGCGGAAGGGTGCACCTGTTGCAGTACCTCGGCGCAAAACAACAACGTTTGTGATTTGATTGCACGATGTCGGACGCAATTCTGTTGATAAGCATGCGTGGCACAGCAGCGCGCTGCAAGCATGCACTGCCTGCACGCTGGTGGCAGGTGTCCTGACGCTGTGCAGCTCAGAGCCTCATGAAGGATACATATGTGTCCGTGTCAGAGCATAAGGAACAACTGCTGCAACCGCCCTTTCAGAGTGAGAGGCGCGTTTTGTCCGGTGCCTAGTGCTCTGGTGACGCCCAAGTGACTGCAGCTGCTGCTTTCGCTCAACTTTGCGTCGAGCGGCGGCAGTCCAGGAGGCTCCACAAGCAAGGGCCAGTTTGCAGGATGGTGTCGGGAACAAAGGAAGCGAGGGCAATACTACAGAATAGCACCGGACATGTGGCAATGGGTCTGAGGCATGCCGTCTGCTGTGAAAGGGCTTGGAGCTTAGATTTGGGGTCCTTGCAGCTGGGAGCACCTTGCGTGCATCCTGCCGCATGTGTTTGGCATCCATGGGCGCTTGAAGCCGTGGGCCGACAAGCCCCTCTCGCCCTGCCGCACGCGCCAACTGTGGGCCCTCCACGCTGGATTTGGCGCGAGATGTTACTGCCAAGTTGGGGCGCACAAACGAAACGTCACAGGTAAATACTTTTCAGACCCAAAATCGTGCAACATACAAAATCAAAATAATCGCAGTTCAAATCAAGCAGGCAGGGCAGTAAAACCACAAGCATAGTATCATGCAAAACATTTAAAGTTTACAGGGCTGCAATTTGCGCGCTTGCAGGGGCGTCGTGCAACGCGGCCTTCGCCGCGCGTGCGGCGGCCCTGACAGGGCGCCTGGCGCGCTGCGGGCTGCACGATGTTGGGCCGCCCGTGCTGCCCCCCTTCCTCACAACATCAATCCCGTGCAGAGTTTCAGCCACAGTCCCTCGCGCTCACCACCGACTCTTACCCTACACGCATCAACGTGCACTGCCGACGCACTGCAAGATCGTATTCTACACTACAACCTGCGGCTCGCTCGCCTCAGCGGCCTGCGCTGGCCATACGGCCAGCGATCAGGGGCCGATACGCAGCGGCCAGAGTGCAGGTGCCGCAGCGACGGGCGGCAGGCGCTCACGGGCAGGCGAGCGCGCCCGACGCCGGCGGGGATGCGGGGGTCTTGGGGAAATCGACCTCGTCGCTGCTGGCGGGCAGCAGGCTTGGCGGAGCGTCCGCCGCTGCCTGAGGCCACGCTCCGGGAGCCGTTGCTCTCGTGTCTGCATCAATGACCGCCGGCGGCGGCGGCGGCGCCGCCGCCGCAGGCTTGCTGCCGTTTGCTGCCGTGCCTCTGCGTCGCGCCTCGTCCAGCCCGCCGCCCCACCCCAAAGCGTCGCACACCGCTGCGCACAGGCTCGCGTCGATGCTACCGCGCCGCATCAGCCGCCCGCCGGCAGGGGCTGAGGCCCCGCCCGGCGAACCCCCACCTGCGGCGCCGGAGCTGCGCTCGGCCGCGTCGCCCGGCCCACTGCTGCTCCCGCCGCCGCCGCCGCTGCCGCCCAGGCACAACACCTCCTCTCTCACATCCCTCACCAGCCGCAGCAGCTGCCCCACGTCGCTCTGCACGTTGGCCGTCGCGCGCGTCAGCGCGCAGCGCTCGGCGCTGACCTCCACCGCCCGCAGCAGGCGCCGGTTCTCCGCCGCCAGCCCACCCAGCTCGCGCCGCAGCGCCTCCCGCGCCTCCGCCGCGCGCGCCGCCTC